CTCCCTCCCCCCCTCTCCCTCTCCCACTCTCTCTCCCTCTCTCTCGCTCACTGCCGCACGGGAGCGACGGAGACTGACGGAGTGGCCGCGACACGACGCCTCGTTTCTCGACCGTCGAATTATCTCCTCCGTCTGCCACTTTGTTTATAGGGTCAAATGGGGGTTGCCGCGGCGGCAAAGACCTGGCCGCAGAGTCGACCCAACGACACAGGACACAGGGCGATTGCTTTTGCACACAAAAGGGTCAAAACGATGTCAGATGACACCAACCCGGTTTGATGTCATTTGATGGCATTTCGACCCCTGAAAACTAAAAGGCCGTTCTTCAGAGGGTGTGGGTATAAGCTTGGATCTCGCTAGGATGCCAGAAAATGACCGTAAGTCTATTTTTTGTCGATTTTGCGAGATGAATATCCGAGTGAATATCATTAGAATGAGGGGGAAATCCTCTTTCTATTGATGTGCGTTTCACGAAATCGTGAAAAAACAGACTTACGACGACTTACGAAAATTCTTTGGGACCCTAGCGACATGCAACATCCGACCTTATTCACAAACCTTTTGAAGTACGACCTTTTAGTTTTTAAGGGTCGATTTAGCGGTAAAACTGCATTCCCTGTTTCCGTTCGACTCAGCGAAAAAATTAAAAATTAAAAAATGCAGAAGATGATACAAAAAAAACGATGGGAAAGTTTTTCTGTTGTTTTTTAGGGTAAAAACAAAAAGAAACATCGCGGGCAGTAGGAGGGTTAAAATTGGGGAGAAGGGGCAGCCGGCTCGTAAAAAATATATTCACCGCACATGATCAGCGACTTGTTCCGCCTCGACCGCAAACCGCAACGATCATTAGAACGTTGCCAACTCCCGCGGACGACGCTGTCGTGGCTTTATGCTCTCGTAGTATTTTTAATTTTTAGTATCTTTGTCATTTTATTTTGTTCCATCTCGCCGCGCATGCACCCCGCGAATCCGGTCGGTGGGTAAGTACGTGAAAGGGGGGAGGGGGGGCTGCCCGTACAGGGCGTGCGCGTGTATGCATGTGTACCCATCAATTCTCAAACGCCAGACACTCGCGGCCTGCCTTTCAAAAACAGGAAACGGAAACGGTACGATCCGGACTCCGCATGCATAGGGCTGCCTGCGCAAGCGACCTAAGAAAATCGAAAAATACAAATTGACCCATCAAAATGAACGTTTTCTATCCTTGCTTTTAGAAAAAATTGCGATAACGTGATTTTCGAGCGAAACACATCTATGTGGCGTCATCGTCACATGTTTCTTATTACTTATGGTGAGAAGCTTCTGCTTGACTCACACTACACACTAAGCCCTTACGTATTTTGCTGTGCATAAATTGAACAGTTACCCACGAAATTGTGCATGAAGTTATGGCTGCGTAAAATTCTGAAAGTTCATAGCAAAATGCATAAGGGTTTTAGTGCGCTATGCACACGCAAAATCCTTATTCACTTTGTTGTGCATAAAACTTGCAGAATTTTATACAGCCATAATATTATGCTTAATTTGATGCATAACTATGCACAGTGTGTGCATAATTATGCACATTTTGTACACGCAATTATGAACAAAAAATTGTGCATACTTATGGCTGTGTGAAATTCTGCAAGTTTATGCACAACAAATTGCATAAGGGTTTAGTGTGCACGAAAAACCAAGCTGGCTTTCATTCCTATATATTTTCACCAAATAAATAATAATTAAACAGTTTATTTGTTGTGTTTGCTGTTTCTTTTGTGAGGAGACGGGCGAAGCGTCACGCCCAAGTCCCCTGGCCGGGCGAGCCTGTCCGCTTGGGCGCTAATAGAGAGCGCCCCAGCGGCTCACTCGCGCGCCGCGCCCAGCCGGCCGGTAATTGGGGCGGCGCTGCCAACTCTCCCGCGACATTAAACGATAATTTGCCGTAAAAACGACCGTGACGCCGCGCCGCCGCGCCGCCGGTGCCAACACACGCGTGATAAAACGACAATTTGCCGTCGCGACGGATTGCGGCGGGGGCATATGGCTGGCAGGCGGCGGGTAACGGCCCTGTCCGGGGCGCAGCAGTCACGGGAGGAGACAACCCTATTTCCTTTGGTCAGTCTCTGAGTAGGTGGACGCAAAGCGACCCCGCTGCGCTGAGCAGCGCACCCAGAAAAGCGTGTTCTTGTATTATGCGCACTGTTCTCAACTGTATTCGGCACTTGATTCAAGCCCAATTTCGACTCAAACCGTGAACATTCGTGGGCTTGTTTCATGTCCAAAATATTCTCGAGACCATCAAGTCCATTTTGCACTTGATTCAAGCAAAAAATGCTTGATGCAAGAACGGGCTTTTCTGAGTGCGCTTTCGCCCGGCAGATGGACCTGAAGCGGCACCAACGAAACGCATTCAGCACCAACCCCCAACGGGCCCCTCAGCGCGGCGTAAGGGTTCGGAAGGGTTGATGACCAGGGCCATTCCAGTCCTTGTGACGCTGACGGCAACGAATACTGTAAATAGGCCATGCGAGAGGTGACGACAGTCGCCCTGCATGGCGCACAGTCACCGCCGTCTCGTTTTTTATCCGGCCCATCGTTGAACGGGGGTGAGCGTGAGTTCAGAGGCCCCGCGCTGCTAACGCCAAGGCAGCGACAGGGGGCGTCGCATGCGTTCCAACTCGTTTGCGCCGTGCAGGGGTCGCAACGCGACCGTCGCCACCGACACCCCTACCGGATACGCGGGTCCTCTCCCGACCACGACGACGATCAGGACGACGTGGTGAAAGCCGAGGCTAAGCAGAACGAATGGGGTGGCTGCTCGCTCGGGAAGGCGGCCCCGCGACCGCGCGGGCAGAGAATATCAGACGCGTCCGAATGCATTCAGGAGCAGAGGGAAGTTCGGGTCTTTTACGAACGCGGCGGTGCATCGCAGGAGTGAGATGTCATCCTCTCTCCACAAACATGATCCGGGGGAGGAAGTGGAGGGGGAGAGGACGGGGAGTACTGACCAATTACCGGGGCCTGCTGGGCTTCTAACAAGCCTGTCATCCCCCGCCGTGTGTGTGTGTGTGTGTGTGCCTCCCTTGCCCAGCGGCGCGGTTGCCCCTGGTGGTGCGGCAGCAGCCCCCTGGCGGCCGGCCAGCCCGAAGGCCAGCAGGGCCAGCCCCCGCGGCCCGCGCCGGGCGGACATGGGCCGACTGCACGCTGAGTGGCGGGAATGCGGGGACCAGTTTATCCTCCGCCGCTCACCCCGCCGAGCCAATTACCAAGGACACATTCTGTGCTGGTAAAAGGAATCGAAACAAAAAGAACGCGGCCCGCTAGTTGGCTGTTTAGCCGGCTGACTTTTAGCTGCCCTTTCCCTGCGATTAGTCGCCCCAGGGGCGGCGCCCAGCCAATCACGTCAATCGGCGGCTGCGGCTGAGCACCACAGGCGACCAGGGGCGACCGGGGGCGACCAGAGCCGACCAGGGGCGACCAGGGGCGACCAGGGGCGACCAGGGGCGACCAGGGGGGCGACCAGGGGCGACCAGGAGCGACCAGGAGCGACGAAAGGCGACCAGGGGCGACCAGGGGCGACCAGGGGCGACCAGGGGCGACCAGGGGCCGACCAGAGGCCCTGGACACTTGAGGGCCGTTGAAGTGCACACCAACCCCACCTCTCTCACCACCGGTGCCTGTTGCAGAGATCACCAGCGACTGCTCCTCGCTGGACGGCGACTGCGCCCCGAGGACGCCGCCGGGGACGCCCGTCGCGACGCCGCTGGGGACGCCAGAGGCGGCGACGCCCTCCGCTACCGCCGCAGATCACCAGGGCGGCGCCGAGGCCGGCGGGGCCGCGGCCGGCGACCAGGACGACCGCAAGAAGAGGCCGCGCACCGCCTTCACCGCGGCGCAGATCAAGGCGCTCGAGGCCGAGTTCGAGCGCAACAAGTACCTCTCCGTCGCCAAGCGGCTGCAGCTCTCCAGGGCCCTCAAGCTGTCCGAAACTCAGGTCGGTCACGTTCCCCCGTTCCCCCCCCCCCTTCCTCCCCTGGGGCCCTGGGGTAACGCATGGCTTCCTGGCGCCATGCGCCCCCCCTCCCCTCCCCCCCCACATAAGGGAGGAGGGGGCGGCCGCGGGGCCATTACTCATGCTCCTCATTAACCCTCTCCCCCGCCCCTCCCTCCCGCCCCTCTCCCGCCCCTCCTCACACTCACTCGCTCGCACGGTGAATCTGGATCCGGTCTTACTTCGCCTCTCACATTACCCCCTCTCACCGAACGATACCACCCCCTGCCCCGCCCCGCCCCGGCCCACACACCCCAGGGCTGCAACAACCCAACACCACCCTCCTCGACTCACCTTATGGCCTTGATCCTAGTTCTCGTGTCACCCGCGCGCCTCCGGGATCCAGCCATAAATTTCCCCCGTGGGATGCAGTGACTAGAGCAAGGTGAATATACACCCTGGAGGGGCACCGGTTCTGCCCGCCTCGGCCTGCCCCAGCCCCCGGTACCTAACCTGGTACTCGCACCCGCATCGCCGCTCTCGTGCGCCTTGCACGAAAGAGTTATACCTGGTGGCTGACTCACGTCGCGCCGCGCACTTTCGCAGTTATACTGTACCGGATGCACGCGTGCGGGCGGGTTGCCTACTCGCACGGAGCCATTAGGAGCCGTGGGCAGCGAGGACAGGCAAGCCCGCCCGCACTCGTGCCTGAGGTACAGTATAACTGCGAAAGTGCGCTGCGGGAGCCAGCTACCTGGTATAACTCTATCGTTCAAGCGTGCGCTGACCGCGGCCCAACACGGCCCAACCCCGCCGCGTTACGGCACGCGCACTTCTTCCAGTTATTCAAGGTTGTCGTGCGTAAATGTATGCTCCCCACCCCCCCCCCCAACCACACTCACGCGGGGGGACGGGACGCGTCGTGCGAGACGGGAAATTGTTTATTACCGTCGCAAACACGCTGCCAGTCTGCCAAAGCGCCCCCTGGGTCCCCGTGGACGTGGCGCCAATAGCCGAAAAGTTGGAGGCGGACGCAATAAGGAGAGGAAGCCCGCTGGCGCCACCGGAGGGACCGGCGGCAACGGGGGCACCGGGGGGCGAGACAAGCTCCCGAGGACCCGCATTTGATAACAAGCGCCGCAGCGGAGTGTGGCATCCAGAAAGGGTGGCAGACTGCGGCGGGAGAGGCGTGAAAACTCACACGACTGGGAGGCGCCACGGCACACGTGCTGAGGGGAGAGAGGCGAGGCGACGGCGTGGTGCACCGACCGGCGCGACAAGGTAGAGGGGCTCGGGTTACCAGCGTCAGGTTCATTATTACTACAAGGTCCTAATTACCCTGAGCAGACACGCGGGGCTGCTGCCGGCTGCTGCCGCGTGGAAGTGCAGTGTGACTCTAACGCGACCGCGGCTCTCCTCTCTGTTTGCAGATCAAGATATGGTTTCAGAACAGGCGCACCAAGTGGAAGCGCAAGTACACGAGCGACCTGGAGCTGCTGGCCCAGCAGTACTGCAGCCAGCTCGGCGCGACGGCGGCGCGGCCCATGTTCCTGGGCGACAGGCTGTGGTAAGTTCGCGGAAAATAATGACCCACATTCACCTGATAGGTTTTTTTTTTACAGAATTTTTTGTGTAACTGTCTGGGCTAATCCGCCGTATGTTTACTTGCAGGTTCTTCAACTACCCGAACGGCGTCTGCGGAGTGCCCGCGGGGGTGAATCCCATGGGGGGCCCGGTGGCGGGGCCGATGGGGAGTCCCATGGGGGGGCACATGGTGGGGCACTTGGGAGGGCACATGGGTGGGCCGACGGGTGGGCCCATGGGCGCCGGCATGGGCGGCATGGGCGCGGCGGGGCCCCTGGGTCCGCACCACCCGCACCACCTGCAGGTGCCCCTGCAGGCCCTGCCGCCGGCGGGGCCACCCCACCGGCCGCCCGTGTACCCACACCCGCACCACCACCCCCTGCACCCGCTGACCGTGCCGCAAGCGCCGCCCCACCTCAGTCCCGGGCACAGCCCCGGCCCGTCACCCATGTCGCCGTGAGGACAGCGTGACCGTCCTTTAAGACTGATTTATCAAATACGTGTAAATAATACCTTTTTGTTTTCATTAGTAAAGAGAGAAATATGCATTCGAGCGTGTGTACGTGTGTATTCACGGTTTCTCAACCCTCTACACTACAGACTGGTTCCGGGCAATGCACCCAGACCCAAACTTACAGCAGGGGAAGGGGAGGAAGGGGGCAGGGAGTCGCGCCTATTGCCCAATAGCAACATTCGCGCTGTGGATGAATCGCCTAGCCCAATCCCCGACCGTCGACCGTCGTCCGGGCGTCTGGAGGATAGGTCTCTTAACGTTTGCAAAAACCGTGTCCGCGCCATAACGCTCCCTCCTCAAACAGACACCCTTCGGAGACGGGATTGCCGCCCGCCCGCCCGCGTCGAGTCGCACTTTGGGAATGAGCGCAGCCTGAAGGTCGCTTTATCACGGGGCCGCGGTGGCGGCGCCGGCGCCCCCGCTGATAAAGACGGGCGCGGAGCCGAGGACCCGCGGCCCGCCGAAGAGTCCTGCCAGTCGTACTTCCAACACTTCTTCACGGTTTAAACTTCGCTTCAATTAGTCTTCCCGAGAGCCACACATACACCGTTACAGTTTTGCGCTACAAAGCTAGCCCACTTCATGACCACAGACGCGACCGTGTGTGCGCTGTGTTGTTGTAGCGGCGAGAGACGCCGAGGAAAGCGGCCACCTCCGCAAAGTGACGTGCGGCAGCGAGGGGCGGGGGGAGGGAGAGTGGGAGGGGCAATTGTTCAATTTGAACGCGGCGACGGACGAGTCGCAGGACACTCCGCGTCGCTCCGGCCGCACGTCAAGGACGCCGTGTCGTCCGTCGTCAGGGCCGTGGCAGCGCGCGGGTCCACGGGGGGGCTTTGCATAGAGCAATTGTGGCGGAGCCTGCTTGGTCGCAACCCCACACGTGCAGCCGACAACCGACGGCGACTTCGAAGGACACGAAGGCGTACCGGGTGTACCTGTGAATACGCAGAAGCGTTGCGGGATTGCATACTCAATATGGCCGCAGGGGCCACGGTCCCTTCCGGGTGTAAATAATAGGCAAACCCGCAACACTGCTGCCTATTCACAGCTACAACCGGTACACCAGGGTAGTGCCTCGCCTCTCTGCCTCAGAGCCTCGGCTCGGCTCGCCGCCCGCTGCGCCGGGCTCGTCTCGCAGCGTAGATTGCACTCGCACCTTTAGAGGGTTCAACCTTGCTTCCTGTACTGATACACGAGCGTGTCAGCGCGCTCTGTCCGGTAGGACTCATTTCTCTACGGGGGTCAGCATTTTGCAGGTCGGCACCGGGCAGGCCGGGGCAGGCAGTAGGCACAGGCACGAGATAGGCATGGGTCTGCGGCCCTGGCCTTGGCGGGTGCAGGCGAATGCCCTCCTGCCTCTAGGCAGTGGCGGGAGGGGGATGGAAGGGAGGGATAGAGATACACCGGCAAAGAAAAGACGGGCAGGGACCGCGATACGGGAATATAAAAGTTGAAAAATAAAACTCAGCAAGCGACAAGAGAAGACACACCGGTATGACGCCCCGTATACGGGCATGAGGGGGCGTACACAAAGGGGGGGGGGGCGTCGGCGAAATGCACGGCCCGGTTGTGCCTCGACCCGCCGGCGGGGCACGGGAGGCCCGGGGGCAGGGCGGGCCGCCGACAGTAGTGTCTTGTCGCGGATGCTGGTCGCGGGAACGCCTTTTATCAGCGGAGACGCGACGGCCTGTGGAGGCAGATTCAAAAAGTGGAGTGAAGTGACTGGACTGCGATGGGCCGAGCCGCGCTCCCGTGAGAACGGTCCTCCTGCTGCCCGCGCCGCGTAAGCCTGCAAGCCTGCACCTCCTGGAACGCGCGCCTGAGGGAGCTTGAGGCGACACTTCGACCTCGCCTTTGTGGCACTTGTTCAGGCTCTTTTGGAGTTGAAGTAGCAAGGTGGGCGGATTATTTCTAAGATTTTCCAAATCAATTGATTTTAACACTTAAGTGTGCTCACCAAGTCTAATAATCTGCGAAGCGTTGTGTTCGACGGTTTTCTTCCCACTTGCATGAAAATTCTGGCTCGCAAATGGACCAAGAATTTAAAACATACTGTCGAAGGAGGTACTCTGAAGAATACACTGTGAATCCGGGGTGTCTAGCAGGTAGGCGACAAAGTCGCCTGACTCGCAAAACTAGGCGACTTATGTCGACTATCTGCTGGACACCTTTTGGTCTGCTGGGTAATTGCATGGGCACAATGGGTGGAATACCTATGGACTCATACAATCAAAGTCCCGGAAGAACAGAAGGTGTCCAGCAGATAGTCGACATAAGTCGCCTAGTTTTGTGGGTCAGGCGTCTTTGTCGCCTACCTGCTGTACACCCCGAATTTACAGTGTAGTCTCACACTCAGTAAATAATGGTTTCTGTGATTCAAGGAAATCCCGGAAAATTATATTAATAAAATTTGAATAAAAATTGGTTACATAAGAGTTTTCAATGGAATTTTTTATGGAATTCAAGAAACCGTTCGTTTCAGGTGACTCCACAATGAACTCCCCCCGAGGGGACGCGAGGGTTGGGCGTCAAAAGTCCTCTTGCCCGACCCGAGGCCGTCGCGCTCGGGCGCTCAGGGTGGGCCACCGTCTTTGCACGGCTGTTTGACGGGTCGGCCTACCCAGCACGTTGCAGGCGCTTTCATGAGCGTCGCCTTTCGAAATGTTTATTGTGGGGGCACCTCGAGTGCGCGCACACAACACTCCCCGACTATTTCAGCACCAAACGAAAGTCTGGTATTGAGGACCCGGCCTATTAAGGTGTTATCATTCTTGTCACGCGTGATTCGAGGGACGCGGTGAGGTGCAGCAAGGTTGGGCGCGCGACTGTTATCAGTGATTTACGACGCTCCCTCCTTCACGCACGGAAACGTGCAACGTGCAAGAGGTGGCGGCAAATATTGACTGAGCCAACCCCGCGGCGAGACGAGGGAGGGGAGGGGCGGGGCGGGATGGGGAGGTCCGCCGTGTCCATCGGAGATTGGAACTATAGTGGATTGGAGCAGAACAGAGAGCGGACACGGTAAAAATAGTTTCTTGTATTTCAAGATCCTGTGTTGGATGGCATTGGCGTTCTCCACAAGATCCAAGACTGGGTCTTGAAATAAGAAACTATTTTTACCGTGAAATGAATGTCATTCTATGTGAAAAATAAAACATTGCGGATAATTGATGCTAGTGTGGGTTGGAGGGAAAAATATTCTGGAATCGAAACAATCATCTAGTTTGACGGTTAGCAAGTGCATCAAAGTGCATCCACATGGGAGAAAACAAGGAAATGATATGTTACACTAAACCTCCTTCCTTCACTACACTACAGACTGGTTCCGGGCAATGCACCCAGACCCAAACTTACAGCAGGGGAAGGGGAGGAAGGGGGCAGGGAGTCGCGCCTATTGCCCAA